TCAGTGACAGCAATGTGATTAAATAAATTTCATTAATTTTAAGTCGTGGTTTAATATTTTATGATAAAGTAATTTAAAGATTTCAACATCTGTTATATTGATATTTGGCTTAGTGTCCTCAGACTTGAAAAAACACCACAAAAAGATACTCAAATTCAAATGGAAGAAGCTCTTGGTGGCTATGTTTACTAATCCATGACATTAACTTTTCAATCTCATTCACCAATTATGTAAAGATTTTTGTTGAAATGTCAGCAAACTATATGCAGCCTGTTTCTGTAAATAAAGTTTTATTGGAACACAGCCACACCCATTCACTTATGTATTGTTTATGGTTGCTTTCGTGATACAATGGCAGAGTTGAGTAGTTGCAACAGAAAGTATATGGCCTGCAAAGCTGACATATTTGCTATATTTGCTATCTGAAGCTTTACAGGAAAAAATGTGCTCGACTCTCTTCTATAGTATTAATTTTCATCAAAAAGCAGTTAACTTTCTCACTCATGTTTACCTCACAAATTGTGTTTATTTTTTCAGAAGTTTTTTTTTTAGAAAATATTTTCTAAGTATTGCACTATTGAAAGCTACATGTCATCCCTGAAAAAGACAAATCTCAAACAATAAATATCAAATACTTTCTAGCTCATCTTCAAGTTTGACAACCTCTTGAGGTAAAAGAGGCATTTATGGTTATCCTACCTTTTTTTTACGAAGTATTGTACAGACTCTACTATTTAAGATAATATTATTTGTATATGTACTTAAACTGGTTTAGCTAAGCATGTAACCCGTGACAACATACCGCAAGCAAACCAGATGTGGTGTGATTGTAAAACCCTTCCAGACCTACAACCTCTACTCTTTTCTCAGAAAATGTCCTTTTTGTTTATAACTTATCTGACACACAAACAAAAAGCACCGATGTCAATTTATGGATTACCAAAATATAACTGCTTTTTTAAAAGTCTTTAAAAAACTCATTTATTTTTTAGTGATCTCTATACCCAACGTGGGGCTCGAAATCATGACCCTGAGATCGAGTTGCATGCTCTGCCTGAACCAGGCAGGTGCCCCCAGATTTAATAACTTTTTTAAAAACAAAAACAGATGAAACAAAAAAGGGAAAAGAAAGGAAAAATCATGTACTTTTTTCATATATTCCAGTAGATAGATCAGTACTTTACCCTCAAGGGCACATAGCCATTCTGTAGACCTCTAGTACAACTCCCTGAAACTAAAATTTTTATATACAGTACATGAAACATTAGAATACCTAGAGTACGTCAGATTCCATAATTACTCAGTTTACTAAAATTAGCTTAGGTCATAGCAGTACATGGTGTGGCTATCTTATGCCTCATAGAACACTAGGAATACTTTACTCAGATTACCCATTCCCTCCTGTAGGCAACTAGTAAAGTGAGTGATTAAACTATTAATATAAACTAAATTTTTCCATCTTGTTCCCTCCACTAAATTTATATAAGCTCAAGCTCCCAATCAAGAAACCTTTATAAATATTTTCTTTAAAAAAATTGTAAGTTGAAATTTGAGCAACCAATATAAAAATGGAAGAACTCCAGGTTTGGGGAAAACTGATTTTGTTCATTATTCTGCCACTGAATGAAATAGGAAATATAGGGGAAGGCTATGATTTGGCTAGAAAAAAATCATTATTTGGTCTTGTACTTGTTGAATTAGAAGAATCTATAGAGATACTAGCCTTGAAAATGAGGAGGAATCCTTTCTTAGGGAAAAGTGAAAAGAAAAGAAAAAATGAAGAAAGACTTGGTGACCAATTAAATATGAAAGAACCAAAAACTGGCAATTTCTTCACACCTAATTGGTCACCAAGTCCTATGAATTTAAAAATGTCTCATACTCTCTTCCCTTTTTTCTGTAGTTAAACCCTTATCTTTAACCAGACATCTTTTCAAAATAGCTTTCTTGATGATTTTTTGTCTCCAACGTCCCTTCATCTTTCACATTATAATTACCTTTTATAACAACATGATCACCTTATTACTGTACCCAAAAAACTGACATGTTCCCATTTATATCATTTGGTTGAATTTACTGGTTTGAACTAGAGCTACAGACTGAACCACGTTATTCTTATTTTATAAACCCTTCATAGTTCCCTCTTCAAATAAATTGGCTGAATTTACACTTTTTGCTTGCTTTGACTTGTGTTTTGGTAATCAATTAGCAAGGATTTACTGACTGTTGTACATTGTACTAGGTTTATAATACTTTCCGTATCCTCACAGATCTTAAACTCTAGGTGGACCGAAAAGCTTTTAGAAACTGCTACATTGTTCAAGACTTAATTGTTCTGTGACTACTGTGTGATTGGAAATCAAAGAAAGGAGATAACAAAAAGTTAAGGAAAGATCTCATGGAGGAGGCAGAATTTTAGCTGAAAGTTGAGAGGCAGGGGACACACAGAATGATAGGAAAGGGATTTAATAGATATAGAGGAATCTGAAAAGGTGAGGGTGTCAGGAAAGCTATGAGAAAAGCCAGGGGTAAAGAATTAAGAAGGGAGGGGCGCCTGGGTGGCTCAGTGGGTTAAGCCGCTGCCTTCCGCTCAGGTCATGATCCCAGGGTCCTGGGATCGAGTCCCACATCGGGCTCTCTGCTCTGCAGGGAGCCTGCTTCCCTTCCTCTCTCTCTGCCTGACTCTCTGCCTACTTGTGATCTCTGTCTGTCAAATAAATAAATAAATAAATAAAAAAGAATTAAGAAGGGAACTATAAAGATGTAGAACACTAGTAATGGGGAGCAATGAGATAATCATCTTGGCTGGGGAAGATGGATTCCATTACAGAATGTCTTGGAAGCCAGCCAGAGGCATTTAAATTTGACTTTGTACATACAAACATCAATAAATGAAAAGGGAAGAGATGGCATAAGAAGATTATTCTTTTTTTCCTTTTTAAGATTTTATTTATTGGTTAGAGAGAGAGAGCGTGTGTATAAGAATTGGGAGTGGCAGGCAGAAGGAGAAGCAGGTTCCCCACTGAGCAAGGACCCTGATGCAGGGCTCGATATGGGGGCCCTGGGATCATGGTCTGAGACAAAAGCAGCCACTTAACCAACTGAGCCACGCAGGGCCCCAAGAAGATTATTCTAGAATCCATATTCAGGCATATGAAAGATAGAGACAGGCAAAGAGAGACATTTGGGAAGAAATTAATAGTACTTAAAGAGACTGCAGTTAAAGAGTAGAAATTGTCAAAGAAGAGTACAAAGTTTCAAAGGCCTTGAAACTATGAAAATGGAGATATCACTAAAATGAACAGGATGGGAAATAAACAAGGTTTGAGAATGGGGAGGAGATGATTTTGGATGCTAGACTTAAGCATCTCCAAGTGGAGCTATCCTGAGTCTATTCTATAGTGTAATACCTGGATGAAGCCAAGAAACCAGGGCAAAATAGATAGGTATAGTGATCTATCAATGCTTTTTACCAATTTAGGACTTTAAAACCATATATTAGGGGCGCCTGGATGGCTCAGTTGGTTGGGAGGCTGCCTTCAGCTCGCTCATGATCCTGGAGTCCTGGGATCTAGTACTGCATCGGGTTCCCAGTTCCACAGGGAGTCTGCTTCTCCCTCTGACCTTCTCCCCTCTTGTGTTCTCTCTCTCTCACTCTCTTTCTCTCTCAATTAGAAGAATGCAATCTTGAAAAAAAAAAACCATATATTATTAATTTTGAGGTTCAAAATCCAGGAAGATAGAGGAGCAGAAATTAACATCTTCACTTCACAAATAAGTGTTAATAATTCATGGATTTTCCCAAAGTCAAAAAAGCTGTTAGCAGCAGAGCCAAGAAAATTCTAATTTTGTACTCTTGCTATTATACTCCTGGCTTTCAAGAAGCAAGCAAAATTCAAGGCTCTTCTTCCAAAAAGAGCCGTCAGCATAAAAGCAACAAATGAGGCTATGAGAATGTGTAATTCTTTAGGGGCATTAGAAGAGAAAAAGAAAGGATTTCTTGCAGATAGACAGAATTAATTAAAATGTGGAAGGAAAAGAGTTCAACAAGAGACACCAAGAGATTGACAAGAGTACTCAAGAGGGTGGGAAAAAAAATCAAAACCAGGAAAGTGCAGAGTCAGGAAAACCAAAAATGGAGTAGGTACTCGGTGATCTGAAATGCCAAAGTTGGAAGAAGGTGATTTGGCATGGAAATAACGCATTTGATGGTTGAATTTTTTTTTTCTTCAAATATTTAACTCAATATAATGGGGGAAAAATCCCTCAATGTTTACTATCAATGTCTGTTATACTATTAAAGGGACTTCATTTTATATTTCATACATTAAATTTCTACTTCACAACTTATATTAACATAAATGAGTGCGGAATGTTTTTCAATCTTGAAAAAGTATAAAGTCTAAAAAAAAAAAAAAGAGCTCAAATATATTTCAACGTAACCTGATCAATTTTTTCACTTTTTATTTGGCAAAAAACATTTTCAGCTTTTTCTTCGCCATTATTTGAGAGGCTTTTGAGAAACCTAAGTAATAGTTTGCCTTTTGCTGTGATCCATTTTACTAAGTCAAAGTTCCAGTAAAGGAAAAGAATGAGGGCTATAAAAAGCAAAACTATACATATGCTCCAAGTAAAATTATAGATGAAGTAATTTACCAAGTTTTTATAATAATTGTTAATAGAAATAATATAGTGAATGTCTTGATCCTATATGCAACTTCTGTTGTAAGTGGAAATTACCATGGAAAGAAAGTGAGCTACTTTATCCTTGTTCTAACATGACGAACACAAAATATTTTCAATTTTATAACTAAAATTAACTCTCATTAGTGATATTTTTAGAATACAGCACCATCTTTGCACTGATCAAACTTAGAAAGGTCCTTGGCAATTATATCTAAAAGTTTAAAAAAATTTAATATGACATTTATTTAAAAATTTAAAAGACACATTAAAAAAATGTAAAAGGCACAGAGCTAACTAAATAACTTGCTACTGACCTTGTTCAAGTCTGAAGAGGGTCTTTTCCAGCTTTTCCATTTCGTTCAGAAGTAGAATTCTAACCTGTTTACTGTGTCCCATTTTGGCTTCTAGAAGACTTCAAATCTTTCAGAATTAAAAGAACTCCGAAATCGAATGAGTTACCCCTATGAAACAAAAAGGAATTAAGATAAAGAAAATAACTACCATCTTAAATTCTTTAAGGCTGACAGCCGCACTTACATGTTCTAAATGTGTTTTAACCCTAGCAGAGCCAAGAGAAAGAATGAATTTTATAAATAAGACCTGAGAAGGCAAATTAATAGTTGTTTCCACCCTTCGAGCACAATAGGAACGAAGCAAAACTACTGTATTATAGATTCTTACAATTAAAACAAAACACAAAACTAAATCATTCTCAGAGGAAAGCAATACGTTTTGGAAAGCCTGGATTTGGGCTGGGGGGGAAAATTCCCGGTCCCAAGCCAAAAGGCTCTGAAGACCACAAATGGCACTTCAGCTTACAAGAGATTAGTCTGCTCAAAGATAACAGGTGGGAGAGTTCCCCATTCCCAAATTCGGGTTGGAAGCCACCAATGGGGAGATGAGAACAGAGGGAAGCAGTTGTTGCCCCTGGAATAGCTGCTGCAGACATAGGATGTACAGACAGAGCTATAGATAGAAAGAACGCATTTCCCAGAGAGGCCAGCGGCATTCCTAGCACTTACACTGAGCAAGTTATACGTGCAGCTTCTGGGACACTGCAGGACCCGCCACTCTGCTGTTGGAGTCGGGGGAGGAGACGTGAAGGAAAGCAAAAAGGGAAAGGCAGGCTGCCCAGGCGCAGAAAGCAGCCCCAGACTAGTAGGGCCGGGCGCCGTGAAGGGCAAAGGGCGGGGCGGCGGCCGCGGGGACAGGGCCGAGGCCGCTGTGTGAATGGCAGAGAGCTTCTCCGTGACTCCGCCTCGCGTTGGTCCCTCTGGAGACCCTCGATCCCACCCGGCCTCGAGTGCAAACGCCGGGGTGGGAACTGTCAGATACCCTCGCCCACTTCCGGGAGGCTCCGCACCCGCTCGTCGCTACCGCTAGTCTCGCGAGACTGTGGTCAGCCGGGTCGGGGTCCGGGAGGCGGCTGCGGCCCAGGCAGGGAGCTTTTTTTTTTTTTTTTTTCTTGCCGCTAGGGAGGTGCGAGGTCCCGCTCCTGTACTTCCTTTACCCGCCCGGGAGCTCGTGTTTGAACCTCAAAATGGTGCGGTAGAAGGCTGCCGCTAGGTTGAGCTGCACAACTGGGTCGTTTTGTGGAACGGCTCAATGGTGGGAGGCAAGCGACCTGGCTTCTGGTGATGCTTCTCTTCTACCACTATGTGTTTTGTGTTTTTTTTTTCATTTTTAAAATTTTAAAAGTGTTTGTTTATTTATTTATTTATTTTTTTAAATGTGGCCCAAGTTTGCTTGGCCCCAGTTCTCTCAATCTTGATTTCCCCATGTCTAAAATAAGGGGCCTGGCTACCGTCTCTGACATTACATCCTTCAAGTGTCTACCAACTCTAGTGCTAACACAGGGCTCATCTTGAATGCAGACACGCAACTACTAGGTAGGTGAAGTGTGGCCAGTTTACAAACACTTGAGGGTGTAAATACCACTTGTACAATGTCTGGTTGTATCTGATGTACATTGCATAGACCTGAAGGTTGTATGGGATTAAGGATAAGGAGGGCACCTGTGGAGATGAACGCTGGGTGTTACACACAACTAACGAATCCTTGAACACTACATCAAAAACTACTGATGTACATATGATGGCTAATTGAACGTGATAATTAAAAAAAAAGAAGACAGGGGAGCAATTGTTATACAGTATGGGCTCAATAAATATAACTACGATTGCTTAAAGAAAAGATCTATACTGGCTATTGCTGCACGTATTTTAGACAAGAAATTTAAGATGTGGTACAAATGCCTATGGAGATTTAATGCAAAAACCTGTCTTCTAGAGTGTTTTGAGGACACCTAAGGATCATGAGAAAACGGACAAAGGTTTCGAGTGTGGAGAAAAATCTTGCTTCCCTTATTGTGGAAATACTGTAGGTCTAAAAACAATAATGGGTTAAAAACTAAAGATCCTGAAGTGCTTGTTTCAGTAGATTTCTGAGAATGGTTAGTTGCAAGTGGTCCAAAACGGAGTTTGGGAACCTGTAGTTCACTTATTCATTTGACTAGTATTTATTGAGCACCTATGATTTGCCAGGCGTGGAAGTGAAACAAATTCACTGCCCGCATGGAACTCCTACATTTTATTTGTGGGAGACTGATAAACAAATTAAATAAGTCAATTATATAAGATAATGAAAGGTTGTAAGAAAAAGATAAGTGGGAAGTGTGGAAGAGTCAGGAGAGGGAGGTTTGCAATTGTAAATACAACAGTCAGTAAAGGACTTGCTGGTAAATTGACATTTGATCCCCACAGAGTAAGAGGAAGGAGGATATGCAGGGTAGAGGGTTACACACAGAGATACCGAAGTGGAAAGGCCATGAGGTAGGAGCATATTTGCTGGAATCAAGGAGTCCGCCATAACTGATTGGAGAGAGTTGTAAAAAATTACGACGGATAATGGGGGTGGGGGAGGTGGGCAGCCATATCTTATAAGACTTTGTAGGCTATGGCAAGGGTTTGGGCTTTTAATCTGGGCAAAAGAGACATTGGAGGATTTTGAACAGAGGAGTAACATAATCCAATAGAACTTTTAAAAGGATTACTCTGCAACTTTATAGAGAATAGCTAAATAAACTGGAGGGTGTGGTGAGGAAGGAAGCAAGACCAGTTATTTCAGTTAACCAAGAGAGCAGTGTGTTTGTGTAAAAAGAAAGTCAGCAGTGAAGGAGATGGAAGTCATTAAATTACAGATCTATTTTGAAAGTACAGTTTATACTGATGGAGAGAAGAGTCATGTGTGATTTTAAGGTTTTTAGCCTGAGCAAGCAGAAGATTATTGTCCAATAGAAATATAATGAAAAAAGAAAAGGAAAGAAATATAATGTGCCATATAGGTTAAAAAAAAATCTTTCAAGTAGCCCCCCAAAAGTAAAAAGAAACAAGTGAAAATAATTTTAATAATATATTTTAATACAGTGATTAACATAACATAATTTAAAAAAAGAAAAAAAGAAAATATTTTAATATATTTATATTCAATTTAATATATAAATTTATATATATAGACATATTTAAATTTAATAATATATTTTTTCATACCAAGTCTTCCAAATTTGGTGTGTATTTTGCAGTTCTTGCATGTCTCAATTACAATAGTTACATCTCAAGCACTCCATATATTTGTGGCTAGTGGCTACCATATGGACAGTGCAGAAGGAGCTGCCATTTAATGAGAGAGGAGTAAAAGGGAAGGAGCAGAACTGGAGGATGAAATTCAGGAGTTTGGTTGAAGACTGTCAGTAACCAAGTGAAGGTAACTATTCATTTGTTTGACATAACCGTCAAACATCCAAGTGGAGATATTGAATGATCACTCGTAGCCCTGGTCTCTGCAGTAGTGTTTTTCAAATTGTAAATAATAATCCACTGAAGGTTGTAAAAGGTATTTAACAGTTGCAACCAATGATTTTTTAAAAATAAAATTGGAAAGATCTGAATGCAATGCACCTGGTAAGTCTATTATTTCAAAAAACTTCTGTTTCTATTATGTTTTGTTGTACTGGGTCATGTATTCCTCCTGGGAGTCATGGTCAAAAACATGTTTGAGAGCCACTGCTCTAGGATGAATGCTGTATAAAAGCATAATAATTCATGATTATGAAATGTTCCTGGGTTTTCATCCCAGCTCTGCCACTAACTAGCTGTGAAGCTTTGGAAGATACTCAACCTTTTTGTGCTTTGGTTTTTACAACTATAATATAGGGATAAAAATAAAAGCTACTATTGATTAAATGAGGACTTAGAACTGTGCCTGAGACATACTAAGTACTGTGGAAGTACAGATATTAGATTGGGACCCTAATTGATGGGAAACACAGTTCATGTTCATGTTTGTGTCAGGCTTTCCCACCCATACCTCCTTCTCCTTTCAGTCTGTCCCATGACCCTCTCATTGCACTGCCCTCCTGTTCATCACTCTTCTCCAGGGCTCCAAAATTAGCCTTTCTTGCTGTCCCCCAGCAAAACTGTTGCATTAGTGCCCATTATTTCAGCGAGAAATAAGGAGTAAAACAGACTGACAAAATGAATTCCTTTAGCAAGGAATTATTCTGACACAAATGTTTGAATTTTAGAAGATCTGTCAATCCAAATGATCTTGATTTTGGAGTTTTCATATTGTGAAAGAAAGAGGAATGTTAAGTAATGAAAACCTTATGATTCAAAGTGCTGTGTCTCCAAGATAACATTTACAAGCCACATAGTGCCCTTTTTAAAAAAGAAGAGTCATGCTAATGTGCTATTTGTGACCTTGGAATGCCAGTGAATTTACATTCTAGGGCTTCAGTGGTGCCATGTGCTGCTTTCATTCTGGCGAACATCTGTTGTGAGCCTATCCTGTGCATAGCAGCGATCTGTATATACACAATAATCTCATGCTGGAGTTGTCAGGAGAAGAATGTCCTTGAGGAAAATCTGATGGATAATCTCAGCTATTTGGCAGTGACTCTAGTGTTTTCTAAAACACTCATATTAACATATTTGGGGAGTGGGAGAAGGGCTGTGGTCAGAAGGGTCCGAAAACACTACAGTGTTTCTTAAGGTCTGTGTATGTGTCTGTCTGTTTTTAGAAAAGAAAGGAGTTCTTTGGGTATTATGTATGGTATGGTCCCAATCCTGTAATAATTTGTGTCTGAAGTGGACAAGTCTGCCTCATTTGGTTTTTATATCCATCAGCATTTTCTGGTGTATTTTATTTTATAGCAATAATATAGTGACATTATTAATAATTTTATTTTGCAAAATTTGGAATTGTGTTTCCAAAATCTCTTCTAAATTGAATAATTTATTCTGCACTTTTTTGAAATATCCAGAATTAGCCAGTGAAGAGAAGAGAGGAAGATAAGAAAGGAAATAGAGTTGACGTCAGACAAATAGAAAGACTTAATATAATGATATAGAGATATGGAAGCCGGAGAGAGATTTTTTGAAAAGGGGATGGTACGATATAAAGAAAAAGGACTCTGGAAACAAACCAGGGCTTAGTTTTAATCTCTCTGAATTACAGTTGATTCATCTGTAAAATGGAGAGAATAACATTTCACTTGAAGGGTCATTATGAGAATTAAATGAAATAATGAAAGCATTTATCAAAAATCAGGCTTTTAATAAATGGTAATCTAAAAAGAGAAGGGCTGATGGCTAATTGTCTTTGCTGGGTGAGGGATGGCAGTTAGACAAAGCAGATGAAGAAGAGGCTCCCAGAGCGTGGGAATCAAAGGACATAATAAAAAG